CACCCTATTAATACATGGGGTGAAGTAAGAAATGAAGTCGGATGAAGTGAAATGAAATGAATTTGAAAGAAAATGACTGAGTCTGAATGAAAATCTTCTGTCAGAAATCGACTAAAGTTTGAATGAAAAAAGTTTTTTTGAACAGGTATGCACCCACCTGTGAATCTTTATAGGACGACAGCAAGTTACAAACTGGTTGAATAACACCGCACGAAATTAGATACGAGACTTGTTCCTTATTCCCACTTATCATCATCTTAGACAACACGGCCCACGCGGCTTCCGTCTGAGTTTGGTATGCACCCTAAAAAATCAAGTCAAAAAAATTCAGTTCAATAATTTTATTCATCACATTTCTTTAGCTTAAGGGTCCATTGTATGCGCGTTTTAAGTTTGAATTGTTGTGTCTCAACTTTCCCTTCCTCCATGTATTCAAATGGCGATTTTGAAACCTGTTCATCGCCCTTCATTTTTTTACAATATGAAGATTTTAATGCACCTAAAAATCGGCAATTTTTAGGTTTACAAAGTTAGCAGGGAAGAATTTTGATTTTTTTCTTCAAGGAGGAAATATTTAATTTTTACTGATTATTTTTCAACTATTTTATACTTATCTTCTCGTTGAAGAAAAAAAATAATATTCCTCCTTTGTAACTTTGTAAACCTAAAAATTACCGATTTTTAGGTGCATTAAAATCTTCATATTGTAAAAAAATGCGATGAACACGTTTCAAAATCGCCATTTGAAGCATGGACGAAGGGAAAGTTGAGATGCAACTATTCAAACTCAAAACGTGCATACAATGGACCCTTAAGCTACATACAAGTGAACGTAGGGTAAGGAAAACCCCGGAATTTTGGTATTGAAAACCCATACCCAAGGGTTTTACCTGGGTTTTGGGGGTAGTCGGGATTTTTAGGGGTAGACTGAGTCTATGTCTCATGTATTAGGTTTTGAAAAAACTCTGCTTCTTCAGTAATTTCTCAACAAAGCCTTTAATTTAATTTTTATAACTAATTAGCTTTAGAAATGTTAGTAATGCCCGGTTATAATACTTTATTAAATTTGAAAACCCCAACTACCCGTGGGTATTGCTCAGATTTGCTACCCAAAAACCCACTAAAACCCACAAAACCCCAAAAACCCGGGGTAGCATACCCTGCGTGCACGTTAATAATTTTTCTACCCACAAATTCAAAGTGCTCAATAATGGTCGTGATCAACCCCGCGTCGATGACGGCTTGCATGTAATTTCCCGCCGTCACTTTGCTCAAAACCCAAAGGGCTTCCTTGTAAATCTTGTCCTCGTGATGGTTCAGCAACGTGTCGAAATGTCCGAGTGCGTCACAATTGAGGACGGCCTGGATCTGCTCGCCCGTCCCGGTGACGATGTTTCTACCGCCCGTAAGGCCGCCGCCTGCACCTTAATTCAGAGCTTTTTAATTAGTCACATTTCTAACTAATTAGTATAGATGGAAAATATTTTATCTAATTAATTAGTAATTAAGCTCGGGTTGCTAAATAAGCCAATTAATTAGCTAACTAATTAGAACATTGACCAATTAATTGGTGATTTTTAGTGATTTTATAATTAATTAGAAATTAAGATTAGCTTCGGTAGTACTAGTTAAGTTTAATTAGTAATTAATAATTAGTTTAAACATGCTTTCTAATTAGATAATTGATTAGATTGACTAATTAATTAGAAAGCCCTACCTTGACTTCACGATGGGACAAGAGGGAGACGAGTTTGGGCAGGACGCCAGAATCGATGACCATCTGGATTTGGTCGTTCCCTCCAGCCGTGAGGTAACTGAGGGCCCAAACCGTGTCGACGAGAATGTTCGTGTCCGCGTGGTGGACGAGGAAGTTGAGCTTGGGTACGATTTCGGCCAAACCTTGCCATCCCGGGGTGGGATCTTTATTTCTGCGGATAGGGGACCATATTTATCCTGATTAGATTAAAACCGGGACATTTTTTGGCCAAAATTTTTTTCCATAATATGTAGTGCTTGGCGAAACAATTTTCTATAATATCTAGTGCTTGGCGGTTAAGATATCACCGATTTTTTAGAAATAGCCAGAAAAGGGAATTAAGAATATATTTCATGCAGGTACTGGTCAGGTCACTGGTATTTATGTGCTAAAATCTACTCCTTCATCAATATTTTGGCGATAAAGTGAGATAACTTAATTTTTCCTACGATTTTAAAAACCGGGACACTTTATCAAAACCGGGACATTTTCAGGACAGATTTTGAAAACCGGAACATTTTCGGGACAGATTTTGAAAACCGGGACACTTTATCAAAACCGGGACATTTTCGGGACAGATTTTGAAAACCGGGACACTTTATCAAAACCGGGACATTTTCGGGACAGACTTTGAAAACCGGGATGTATGGTCACCCTACCTGCAGAGGTTGGCAATGACCCAGGTCACGTTGCGGAGAAAAGTGATGGGAGTCTCGGGCTTGATGAAGGCGAGAAGGGGGGCCACCACACCCAGGGAAATGACGTAGTCGCATAACTGTGGGCCTTCCCCGATTATATTGCCCAACGCCCAGACCGCTTGTTCACGCACGTTTTGAAATGGGGACGCCAAGAGGGCGACGAAATGGGGCACGGCGCCGCACCCGACGACCGCCTGGGTTTGCTGGGATGTCCCACCAGCGATATTCGTGAGCGCCCAGGCTGCTTCGCATTGGAGGGTGGAACTAAAAATAAAAATGATAAATTAACCATACCTGTTCACTTTCATTCATTGGAGTGATTATGATGGTGAGTGGTAGTGAATGAAAAAGAATTTCTCGCGATTTGAATGAAAATGACTGAAAAATTTAGTCATTTCAGATGAATGACTGTGAATGAAAGGATTTCTCACTCATTTCATTTTTCACCATATGCTTAATACATGGGGCGAGGAAATGAAGACCGATGACGTAAAATGAAATGAATTTGAAAGAAAATGAGTGAAAATCTTCAGTCTGAAATCGAGATGACTGAACTTTGAATGAAAAAAAGGTTTTTTGAACAGGTATGTGTGTATGACTGTGCGAATTCAATATTAAGCAGTTAAGCCTCTTACTAGTTCGTGCCGCCCAGACAGTTGACCAAAATTGGAAGGATGCCACAATTAATTAGTGGATCAATGGGTGGATTACGATCCGAGGAGAGTAACTTGCGCACCACGGTCACCGCTCGATGTTGGATTTCTGGTCGTGTCGAATCGGCCGCTTGCTGGACGAGGGCTTGAAGATTGGATAAAATTAGCGAATTCATTTGAGGAAATGTATGAAAAATTGCAAACAAATTGGATATTTTTTTTTAATCGACTTGTTTGTATGACCAAAAATTAGCTTTACATTGCAATAAACAAAAGTTGCATTTATCTCAAAACTCATGGAGTTGATTCAATTTTAGGAATTTTAACATTTTATCATCAGGATTCTTCAATCACTAACGGCAACGCCGGTGTTGCTGGGTATGGCCGTCACTCGCAACAATTAAAATTTTTAATTAGTAGCCTCAGCTACTTATTGTGGTCGTTTTGTCCGTCCGTCCGTCTGTAAGCAGGATATCTTCAGAACAAGTCAACATAATCAAACCCCGTTTTCGCCATTGTGTTTCTAATTTTTAGTTCTCGGTCGAGTTGGAAAAGTCAATCGGACAACCCCCCACAGTGCCAGAGGGTGTGGTCCAAAATTAAATTCACGTTAATTTTCATATGGGATATCATTTTAAAGGAAATTTTAGGGTTGGTCATCCGATCCGATCCGATTATCCGAGATTATCCGACCACTTACTATAACATGTATCCGATCCGACCCAATCCGATCCGTCGGATCGGATCGGATATTATCCGACCATGTTGTAGCAAATGGTCGGATAAAAATATCCGATCCGATCCGACGGATCGGATATTATCGGATTGGATGGAACCAACCCTAGGAAATTTCGCCACGAATTCAACATCAATATTTTTGACCTGATGACCTTGACGACGAGGTCAGAGGTCAGAAAACACATGATTTTCACATGGGGTGTCATTTTAAACGAAATTCCACCGCTACGAAGACGTTAATAATTTTGACCTGATGACCTTGAGGACGAGGTCAAAGGATTCATAATTGTCATATGGGGTGTCATTTTAAAAGAAATTTGACTGCGATTTCAAGGACGTTAATATTTTTGACCTCATGACGGTTAGGACGAGGTCATATACGGAGAAACGTTAAAGGAAACTTGAATCACTCTGACGTTACTTATTTACACTCGTTTGGAGGGTTTATTTAAAAAGGTGAGGTAGCTGGACTACCTCGCTTCGAGGAGCCCCATTGAACATACATTCATATAGAAGATGTAGAGTTATAAGACCGCATGAGCCACATATAGAACCAAGCCAAACTGACCAATGGGAAAGGGGGACGAGGTTTTCGACCACTCCCACTCATCGCCAGCCAATCATAAAATTCGTGTAATTAAATATTATTTTGTACATCTCTTTTTTAATTTTCGGAGTTCGATTTCTGCCAAAAATGCAATAAATTGTACAGTTTGTACGCTAAAATCGAAACGAGTTTATATTTGTGATTATTTAATAAGCTAAAAAAATGATAGGTTAAGAGGAAAAGTTGGGAGAAGGACAGAAAACCTCATGCTCCATTCCTATTGGTCAATTAGGCTCTCAACGTGGCTTTTGCAACCTTATGGAGTTGAGTCTTCTAGGTCTTACTTATCTACTTTTCTCTGGGGAAATTTGGCTCAAAATTGCCAACAATTCTGCATGGAATAGCAATCCTTACAAGATCGTTCATATATTACACAGATTAGTAATTGAGATTTAATTAGGCGAGTATTAATTTAATTAATTGCCTAACTATCATTTTATTATATATTGCATTTTCGCCCAAAAATCTAAATATTTCCGTCTCACTCTACTATAATTTATTAATAAGTTTTGCTACAATTTATTTGGCAAAATTTTACTCAACATTTATCCAATTAAATTAGCAAATGATTTTTTGCTCTTATAAAAAGCATAAATTTTTGCTGCCTATTAAGCATTTCCAGATGTGAATTTTTCTCAGATAACAGTAGATAACTTGAAATATGACTAGATGGTAGATAACTTGAAGTGCCAGTAATTAAATTTAGAGTAAACATAAATAAAACTTGATGATTTTAGTTCCTAACTGAAGTCAATTTCTGTGTAACGGCTAAACTGTCTATGCCAATAATTAAGAAACAATAAAGAGCAATTAAACGAGTGTATTTGACTCGTTGACTTATAACATATTAATAATTTATTTTAATGGAATGCAGTGACTGAGTAATTTTTATCAAATATGTTAACCAATCTGCTTTTAATATCTTCCAACGGGAATGCTACTATGGTGGGCTACACGTTTACGAAACGGGGCTAGAGTTGACCACTTATCTGACAACACTTCCACCGCCTGAGATATTGCGTGGTGTACTCTAATCCGTCCAGCTGGTTTAGCATTGTTGTTGAAAAAACTCGGTGGTGGCCTTCCCAAAAACAGCTCGACACAGGGTTGGTAGTAAACACTGTTCAGTGAATTCAAAGCCAAAAATACTCTGCCATTTGCTAAAGCCCGCAGGAGATGTAGGCAATGCACAAAAACCGTATCCGCCCTCTCTACCCTCTTCGGGGCCAGCAACAAGTATCAAGTCAGGACACCATTCGTAGGCGATGGGAAGAATGACACTTGCGAGAGCGGCCAAATAGTTGGCGTCACTTACGTCATCATTATTATTTTCCACCCACCGGAAGTTGATTCCCGAAGTCAGTTGACAGGACGTCTCTCGCATGGAAACATACAGGACTCTAGGGTTCTTCAGCAGCGTACCTTTTGCAATATCGCTTTCCCCATTCCAGTCTATGAATAGTATCCTACAGAAAAAGCAATGAAAATAATTGTTAATGTAGATTAGCATAGGAACCTTTTGTCATCATAAGCACAAGAAAGCCATAATTCAGGAAACAAAACGCAATTTTGAAGTGATATTCATTTCTTTGAGTGAAAGCACCGAAAGTATTATTGAGTGAATGTTATTTTGTGCAACTAAAGCAATGCAAAATCTATACCTCGCCAATTTTAGCACGTCCATCGCATATTTACACACTTCAATAGTTTCTACTTTTGACATGATTGCTATCCCGGATGTGCATTGTCCTCCAACGATTGCTGCCATTAACCCAAAAGGTCGGCTGAATTTCAATTCTGGTTCAAGACCAATTTGAATTTCTCCAGTAATAGACAGGCTTTGTTTGAATTTTGAGCTGGAATCGTAATTAGCAGCAACGGAAAATGCGATGCCCAATTTGGAACTCGGCACTGCTAGATTAGTGGTTAGAATCAGCTGGTTCAATCGGTCATCATGAGGGGAACACTCTTCGAAAGATGTCACAGGATTCCCATCCCGTGTGGGATATTTATCGAGCTGGACAGGAACGTAGTCATACCTTAACGTTGGAACGTGGACGCATAAGTCCGCACCTTGCTTCGATTCTTTGAGTCCTAACCCTAAGGTCCAGTGGCTTTGTAGCACCGTCATGCAGTTCAGAAGTGTCTCAACCAATCTATAGTTTATTCATTCCTTAATTAGATAGCATCCAGGATTTGTTTTTTAATCAATCAAAGCACAAACTCTGGCATTGGATCTGCAATTGGCTCCAACAAGGGGCAAGGGTCCCCAAGCAGAGTCCTTAGAGTTAAGGCCGCTCCTTCGGCAAGGGCATTCAAGCAGTATCCACCCTCCAAAATAACGGCAACTCTTCCATTAGCCAAACCCATTAAGGGTGACAACAGGTGTGGGTAACATTGAGGTGTCAACTGCATCTCGCCCTTCATTAGTTGAGAAACTTTTTTAAATTGTTATATATTAAATTTTGTTAAGTAAAGTTAAATCACTTTTGGATCGTTCAAAGCTGAGTCGAATCCAGCAGAGATCAGTACCAAATCAGGATTAAATTGGAATGCCAAAGGCAAAAGGATTTGATGCCACGTGGTCAAGAACTCAGTGTTTCCCATTCCAATTTTATTCAGTGGTATGTTGCAGTTGAAGCCAATTCCCTCCCCATCCCCGATCCAGTTGTAATTGGATTCTTTTAAATTGGGCCAAAACAGTCCATTCTCGTAACGGTGTGTCGAAATGTAGAAGACCCTAAAATGCATACATCAACAACAAAAAATCATAGATGTTAGAAAAATACAATCCTAAGCATTTAACATAATGCTTTCTTATAAGTTCGGCAAATTCTTAGTGTTCTAGATTTGGTCTCAATAAGCATAAAGTTCTTCAAAATGGAAACTTATTTTTATATCGGGACATTCCCATGCAAGAGAAATTTTCCCCAGAAGACAAACTTTCGATTATCCCTTCAGGAATAAACTACAGGTTTGGGTAATTTGGAGAGAAGTTATTTTCAAAAGATAACTGATTTACTGTCATATATTCAATAATTCCTAGATTTTGTCAGCCGGACACTCTAAGTTGTTGCTGGTAAGTACAAAGAGTGCTCGCAATACACCTAACCGTCCCATTTTGCAAATCTCATTTCAAAGCTAAGAACTGTTTGAGGCATATGATATTTTTGCCCTTGTTTATGTTGACAAGAGCTACCTAACAAAAAACATCCTTTCTATTCTCACATATGGTGTGGTAGGACCCCAATTTTTCGATTCTTTGTAGTTTTTTCGATTCCTCATTTTATAACTACTGCGTGAATTTAGTTTATGTAGCTGTGGCATGATTAAATTAAGGGACCTTGGGTCGTCGTAAAACAATTGTTGTGTGCCTTGTCCGTGATGCACGTCCCAGTCAACAATCAGTATGCGCTTAGCTCTTCCACTGGCCAAGGCTTGACGTGCAGCTATAGCGACATTATTGAAAAAGCAGTAGCCACTGAATGTTGACTCCATTGCATGATGACCTACAAATATTTATACTCGTCATTATTATTCACAATACTGTTTTAATTCCAAATTTTCAATTAATTACCAGGTGGTCGAATGATAGCCATCCCATTCCGAATTTTGTCATCCAGAATATTTTGGGTCAATTCGATAGCAGAGCCTGAGGCCAGCAGGGCGGAGTCGCAAGTGGAAGGATGGAAGTAGACTGAGTCATACTTTGAGGCGGCTGCTTCCAATTCCAGTTGCTCAAACTTGCCCATGTTATTATTATTGCTAGAGCAGATTTTGTCAAGCGTCCCAAATTGCGCGGGCGAATGCACTGCCGCAATTTCTGCTTCGGTTGCTTTGCGAGGTGCTAAGATTTTACAGCGATTAAGGAGGCCTAGTTCTTGACATCTGCAAACCGAAACCGGTCTTGACGTATTAATGTGAAAATGAGTACCATTTGTTAACATAATGAATACCTTGCAATGACAGAAGTTATCCGCTCGGGGCGCTCAGGATGCTCCGTATCCCAGAGGCATTTGTGCTCTAACATCTGGCTGTCCCAGATAAAGCCTGTGGATGTCATTACTGACTGCATTTTTTCCTGCTTGGAGTTGCATCCCATCTTATCCATCATCAATCGCTTCTGTCAATAAACATGAATAATTTAAGAAGGTCTATCGGACTCAGCAATGAAATATACAAGCGCGAAAAGTGACCGCAAATTCTATCGGACTTGTCTATAAACTGGAGAAAATTACGCAACCTTCTTGAAGCCTCTTGATATTCACTTCTCTTGATATTCACTTCTAGCAATTTAAACGGCAGTGAATGCATCTCGTAAAGATCAATTGTAATTTAGCACCTACACTCTCAGCAAAATTGCCACCAAAATCGTCTCCTCATGTAGGTACTATGTGAGTCTACCGTAGGGTAATAATTTACCTCCGTCCGTTGACAGGTGTGTTTTGTCTTCCGAGCGGAGGTAAATATTATTGTCACCTACCGGGATACAATTTGTTACTGTCGATTACAGAATGTATTCAACGGAGGTAAGCTGTGTCTCTGAGTGGAAATAATTTACCTACATTTGGTGATAATATAGGTAACAAGTTATCACCGTCTTGGGCATATATTTATCTCCTTGCGGTAATAGATTAGAACCCGGGGGAAGCAAATATAATTTCTTAAATATGTATTTATTTATTTAAATACGATTTGGTTAGAGATTAAATTTCTTCACATGTCTCTACATACTACATACATAAGCATACATAAATATAAAAATTAAATTGTCATGCTTACATATATTTATACATGTACATACTTGCATTACTTATAATGTTAGCGAAAATTGATTCTAGCTGACTCGAGTTTATTATTCTGGTGAAGATTTGCCTGCTATCTGTAAATCAAATAGAACTTAAAATATTATCCTGCAGTACTCAAACTAAATAAATGGCTAATTAACAGAAATAAAAATGAAATGAGGGTCCACCTGTTCATAATTTGACATTTCGACCAGCTCTTTGAATTTGACGCTGGGAATGAATTTGGTCTAATTGCGGCCAAAAGAAATGAAGTGTCACCTGTATAAAGTTTAAAAACACACTTAAAGAGAAATTAAACTTACCACTACTTCAAATGGAGTTTTATTTTATCATAAAAACGTCTTCCACGAAAAGTTACGTGGAACACTCAACGTTGGAGATGGAATGTTATTTCATTTAATTGGATAATGTCATCTCAATCTGCGCCATATCTTTGAACGAAATTTGCGCATCCTGATCTACAAAAAATTTGTTTAAGTGTAAATATGTCTAGAACAAAAAACAATAAAATTACAGCATAAGCATCACATGAAGTATGAATTTAAATTATTTACCTGAAATGTAGAGTAATCCATAAGTTGAACCTCTAATTACTAATTTTTTCCTCTGGTAAGATGCGAAACTCGAACAATTTTCGTTATTCTGCCAGGTGCGAGGGAGAAACGTTTTCGAGAGAAAACTTAACTGCCACTAAACTTTAGTGACTAAAGTTTGCGCTGGGCTTTAAGGAGACAAATTGTCACCTACAGGAAATGTTTTTGAGACGAAATTATTTCCACGAGGAAATAAATTATCTCTGGATAGGATACACTGTTTGTCACTTGCAATGTTGACAATTTTGGTGACAAATTTATTACCTAACCGGAGACAGAGATTGTTACCTTGTCAGGGTAGTAAAAATGGTAATAATTTTGCTTCTAAATTATTGAGAGTGTATGTACCTTTATTAAGGTCCCGATCTAAACATAAATTCTACCCGGGCGAGAAAATTATAGCACTCAAAGCCGCTCGTAATTTTAGCAAACAGAAATAAAACTAGTGTTCAGATTTACCTAACGTTCGGCGTTGGTGAAGGGGAGAGACGTTTGTCCCACTCTAACAAGGTTTAATTGATGAAGTGATGAAGTGTGGAAACGACGCAAGTATGAAGTAAATTTATTATAAAAGTAACTGGTTTATGAAAATTAGTTATGACCAATGGTTGGGAAATCTATGAGTTGAATTGATTTGGTTGTGACTGAGAGAGTTTACTTATATACCCCGCATCCGCTTCAACTTTAATCATATAAATTCCTCTGTCTATTCAAATGAATTTAATTCACATGTTCACGAATTTATGTCAGGAGAGTAAAGTGATAAAGTAATTGATTTCGCGGAATAACCAGACCAGAATAAACTAGCATCGCAGCGGATGACGTTTAACCTTGCTGATTCAGAAATACAGGAATGATCCGTTCAACAACAGCTGACACAAAGAAGAGATTCCGTAAAGAGTGGCGTGTCCGCCAGGCTTCTAACTCATGAGAGCAGCCGCTGACTACCCCCGTCACGTCGATGGCTAGAATTCACTGAATTATGGAACTCGCCATACGTCAAAGCATTTCGAACTTTGCAGTATAACATTTATCAATAATTGATTACTCAAATTTTAATTATCCGTCATCATTCAGATTGATTAATTCATGCACGAAGTGGTGATATGCCATTCCGTGTAAATATTATTAAGCAGTGAAAATTCCTTTATGGAAATGTCTGTCTGTTTGTCCGTCCATCTGTCTGTATCCACGATAAATTTTGAACGGATTAGAATTTGGACATGCGATTTTCGCTAACTTGTTTCTAATTTTTGAAGTACGGATGATGGGTGTTATAGGTGATAAGGTCACGGCGTCACGATGATGACGCCAGCAGTCAATAGTGTCGAATTTTTTGTTTCGGCCGTATTACACGTAGTTTTTGGTCGGAATTTAAGAAATCGCAATCATTTTGACATTCGATGACCCTCTGACCGTGTGGGCGATGATGAATGTCGAAAAATGATTTTTGTTGTGTTGGGTGTATATTGAAAGGTCTGATCGCGTACGTACGAAGAACTTTTTACACAGGTGGTGTGTAAAAACGGGACAAAATGAGACGTGGGGCCATGTGAGATAAAGACGGGAAAGTGCTGAAGGACGTTGTGGGAGTGCCACAAACACAATTTCGTTTGTTTTTACCCCTTTGCTACATTTCGTTTGCAACGGTTTATTTATTAAATAAGATAATGGATGAGTGATATAATGAATGAGTGCATGATAATGGATGAGTCGTTTTCGTTGAATTATTTTCATGTACTTTAAACTGTGATTGATTGTTTTTTGCATAATAGGTTTCAAGTAGTTTCTCAGATTCCATTTCGTCGTCACCTCCTGACCTAAAATGAATAAATACATTAGTTTGTAATTGGATTCTGGAAGTAGGCAACTGATTTAAAGTAAATGTTAATAAACTAAATAAACTTTAAACTTGAGTACTTTAAACTGTGATCGATTGCTTTTCGCATAATAGGTTCCAAGTAGTTCCATTTCATCGCCTATGTCTGACCTAAAATTAATAAATACATCAGCGTCACACAATTTTGGTAAAATGATGCTTTATTCACGATGAGGGAGTGAAGGAGAGTGAAGCTGAGTGAAGGGCAATCTGACTAGAGGTGAAAATGAGTGAAGTTGAGTAAAGTGAAATTCACTTGCACAGGTATGAAACTGACAGATTGTCGTAAATTTGAATTATAATCTCCTGTGTTATAAAGCACTAGGGGATTAGCCACTTCAGTTTTGCGAAAAATGAAACAAATCTATTAATCCATTAATTTTTCACCGAGCATAGGTAGCTCAGAGCTAAGTTTTTAAGTCAGCGTTGACAAAAATTAAACTTCAGTTCTGCAGCTTTCATGCATAAGAAGAAAAATATTAGTAAACACGGTACGGATGAAATTTTGAGGGCTGAAAAACACTCAAAAATTGCACAGAAAAATTACAGAATCACCAAAGAATCTGTCACCGATGGCGAGTTTCACGACGCTAATCGAGTAGGCAAACGTCCTATCACTACACTTATCCTAATTCAGTTCCTGTGAATTTTCGACTAAGATGTCGTTGGAGAAAGTCATGATGTTGCATTTCATTGATGGAAATGTTTATGATACTGTATTTTTAATTGCATCATGAATGATAAAAAATTCTGGAAAAATTTATGATAGTCCCTCCCCTCATCAAAAAAAATAATGGATTGACAATAGGTCGTTTTGACCAGAGGCATGGCGATCCAGTACATGGGGAACATGTCGAGAGCGGGAGGATGTCGATTGTATACAAAAAAAATAATGCTCCAAACGCACACAAGCTCATGGAATACGAAATCTCGCTTAGAAAATCCCATAGTCATTCCTTCATTCATGCATTAATTCATTCTGAAGCCGAGTAAAATTCCGATTGTCAAAAAATTTTGCAAAAAACTTATCATAGAATTCTGTCAAAAGGATGGCCTTTATTTCACAATAGTTCAATAGAATTAAAAATATTCTAGTAAAACATTTTATTTTTATTTTATATTTTTAAAAATATTCTACTATACATATAATTCCTCCAAGGTCGTCACAACTTCAATATAAATTTAGATTTTGCTTATTTCATTGCTATTAATATTTATGTAGCCTGACGAAGCTCGGTTCCATCGAGAAACCAGCGGAAATTGAAAAAATCTGATACCGTTGGTTGGAGAAGCGTGTTTGTGTCATTATCTAAGTTGCGATGGTTTACAAGTGAAGCCCCGTGAGGTAAAAATTGATTAAGTGATGCATTAATTAAGGATAAAGCATTTTGTTATGTACAATAATAAGATAAATCCTAATTGCCATTCGGCGATACCGAACTATCTATTGAACTTTCTTCCATTTTCAACTCCAGGTCGTCATTGTTAATTGATGGATTTTTATATCTCCACAATAACGCTATTAGCAAGATGACGGCACCCGTGTTCAAACCAGCGAAAAAGAGAAACTGGACGGACTATAATAATATGTATTAACGGGCTATATAATACAGTGTGAGGGAATATTTATCAATTGTAAGATCAATCATATGTTACCTGTGTTTGGAATATGTTCCCTTTAGCCACCGCAATTACAACAACACTACCCAGTGCTTGCGGCAGCAGTGTAGCTGTGAGAAGAACGGATTTCATGCTGTCAGGCGCCTAAATAAAGACATGGAATATGAGTAGGACAACCTAGACTTCACACTTTATTAAGGGGTAAAAGCCTTTAATAATATCGTTATGTCCGTCTGTCGGTCCGTCTATCTATCTGTCCGTAACTCGGATAACTTTTGAACGAAAAGACATAAAGACTTGAAATATTGAACGGAAACTGTAAACGTCAAAGAATAGCACGGGTTCGAAGATGGACACTAGGTCACACCCGTCAAGGTCAAAAGGTTATGAAATGTCATTTAAAGGTCAACTTAGATATATGTATATTAATTTGAACTGAAATTTAACCCCGAATTCATTGGTGACCTCGATTTTGATCTGAAAGGTTACATAAGGTAATCTTTAAAAAATAATCTCGAGCCCACTCTTAAATAAATAAAATCCATCAAATATGATGCTTGGACGTGATGACCGTCGCCTATAAAAATCCAGATTTGGTGCGGGAAATAAATCGTAACGAAAGAGTTCAAACCAGGCACCCCATGTAAAAACTAATAAAGACTGTGCGCAATATCGAATAAGTTAAGTTATCCGATATTGCATACTCGTACAGTTATCTGAATGCTAGTAATAGTTACTTCCATATACCTGGGAGTATGAAAAACTGTTCAAGGGGGGTACTACCATCACTTCTGCCACACTCATCAACGTATATTGCGGAAGAAGCCACACAACGTGAATGGTTTTCAGCTCAGATGCCTATATGAAATCAATATAAACAATACTATTATTTTCTTGTTATTCGAAGACCGATGGGTTTAGCTTACTTCAATTCTCAACTCCACAACGTAACAACAAACGTAGGCCAGTGTGGAACAGATGAATCCAAAAACTACCCGATGCATTGACTTCGTCAGTAAATTACACTTGGAAAGAAGGGGGAATATTAGTTGTTCAAACACCGGGAGGAAGAGGAATGTGAGGATGAAATTTAATGTCTGCAACACAAAATTAGGCAAACCTATTGTTTAACAAAAAGCGTTATTGAGTATCGCAGATACTATGTTGTGTTTCTGTTTGTATCTCGCTTTGTTTACATGTAAATGTGCTGGACAACCGGAGAACAGCTTATTATATCTTGAAATCGGTATGTATCTTTAACCAAACTGATATTGCACTTCTTGTAACACATGCATGCGAGAGAATGTTGAGATTATGTGCTAATAACTCAAGCATTACCAAGGCTGGCGAGTCAAGAAATAACACGCGTTGGTGTCAATGAGTGACTCAGTCATCTTACTGACCCAACGTTTTATTAAGTAGCTTCAGCTACTTTATGTGAAGACTTTGTCCGTCTGTCCGTCTTCCGTCTGTCTTTCCGTCAGCAGGATAGCAGGAGAACGGATCGAGATAATCGAAATCGGTTTTCGCCATCATGCATCCTATCAACTTTTGGGGTCAATCGGACCACACCCCTTGGCGCCAGGGGGTGTGGTCGGGGTAAAATGAGATTTTTAATGCAATTTAATCTATAGGTGAAATAGAGTAAAATTAATTGTTCCCGAGCTGTGCCACACCCCCTCGTAGCCAGGAGGTGTGGTCGGGGCAAAATGAGATTTTTACAAAAATTGAATCTACAAGTGAAATAGAGTAAAATTAAGTGTTCCCGAGTTGTGCCACACCCCCTCGTCGCCAGGGGATGTGGTCGGGGCAAAATGAGATTTTTACCAAAATTGAATCTATATGGGAAATAGAGTGAAATAGAATATTTTCGCGATGTCGTGGGAGTGGTTGGGGTGAAGTAATCTGAAGCTACTTCCTTATGTGCGTTTGCGACGGTTTATTCATTACTTGTGTAGAGTTAAGCCTGATTGACAACTAGATAACATCTTAAAAATCCTGTGTTTTTGCACAATCGACAGTAAATTGTGAACTCATTATTAAATCATGGAACTAGGACTCCATACAAGTTTGTTCTGATTGGAATATTGGAATGACCTATCCATTTTTGTGCGATAATTGTACTTCTCTTCGTATTAAATAAATCATTCAATCTGCATCGAGAAGGGAATGTGAGACGACTTATTCGGGTTATTTGCAAAAAATCCCAAAAGTGCATCAATTTCGCGTGTTAACAATATTAAGTCGATATTTGAAATCTGAGGTGATATTTATAATCGCTGTGACAATAATTTCGCTGCATTGCGAAATCGGGTGATGCCCACTGCCGTTTGCAGAACCACAATCCCATGATTTTCTAATCTCTGCAACGGTATAACTCAAGACTCTTCAAAACTCTTATGCAAGGCCTCTCTCATACACGATTATACTACAGTGAACACCATTGTATTTAATTAATGGCACCAACGTAATAAGTACTTTAAGGGGAGTGCCCCAAATCTATGTCCACAAGGTTCAACTTGAGACACGGGCGGAATATGTTTACTGGTGTTTTTTACTTGAATCTTCAACAAAAAATTGCCCAGTGCATTCCCAAAACCTTACAGTGCCCCATTAACCATGTTTAGGCCTGCTGCTAATTTTCGGAATGAGATTTATTGATTACACCGATTTGACGCTTACTCTCTATCTTTAATTGCTTAGTTATCAATAATTAACTCACATACCGCCACTTGGTCAGGGGGTACTTCGTATGACCCAATTACTCCGTTCATTCGCTCTGCTTGAAAGGCCCATGTTGAGAACTGAATGAGAACATTGATTAGACTTAGTAACTTCCCGAACATCTATTTACCTGTTGCTCGTAAACCGCCCAGAAAATTATGACGGGAATGAATAGGACTAACACATCCAGAACAGCCTTCACATTTCCAATGAACTGGGCCGAATACTCCACTTCTGCATAATCTAACCAGTGTTTTCTAACTTTATCAGATCCAGATGATGATGTAAACTTCCTCACAATGGCGAACTAATTAATTAATACAACACAATTCAGTTCAGTTCAATGTTGGAGCGATCAAAATGAATTTGTTAAGTACTAGTTACCCTTATACATCTTAGAAACTTTCCGACTACATTCTCGTTCACAATTATGTGCCTGTAGTCTCTTCTCCCTATCCAAAATGCCACTGCGGATAAGTTAGGATAACAGAAATTAACGTCAATTTGGGAAATTTCACACTTATTTAGTGTACTAAACGGTGTTTCAAAAGAATTAGGAGAGTTAGGAGTTATGCCTAATTTACCAAGAAAGTTGTTGTTAATTAAAAACTCAGAATTTCTCCGAAAATCAGGATATTCCTTATTTTCAGATATGACCATTTTTTCACAGTAAGGATTGTGAGACAATTTTTTAATTAAAAATCGATAAGGGATTTTCGGATGTAGGTCTCACGGAAGATATGCGGTGAAGCCGACGCAGGTGTTTTGGTGCAGGAGGGACTTCATCACAAACGTTTCGGGAGTAAAAATAATTGGCTCACAATTTCAACGACTAAGGTAGAAGCTGTAGTGAACAGTATCCGAATGAAGAAATTTTCTCGTTTTCTATGAAATTCTGAGTTTGAAAAAAGCAAGACTTCGCAGGCAAGCTACGTGCAGGTAAGGAGTCCTCTTAATTATATCAAAATTAAAATATAGTCACCGTTTTAACCTACAATCAGAACTCCTCAATTAGTTAAAAAGCTAGAAATCGTCTTACTTACGAACGGAAAGAACAATAAAGGTAAAAGGTACAGCAAATGCCAGGGAGTAGCAACTTTCCTTCCCGAAACAAGATACATCTCTTCTCAATATCGGCGTTACAAGTCCAGCGACAAGAAGGGACAAATTTATCCAAATATATAAAAAAGGGAAAAAGGAGTTTAGTTCCTTCTCCTGGTCTGGTAATTTAAATTGATCTCCACCAAAGGCAGTTATGCAGGGCTTAATTGCACCAGCAGCTAAAGCAACGCATAATAGTCCCAGAATAGTGATAGTCCTGTTTAATATAAGAAAAAAATCTTGAAAGTGGCAATCTTTATGTGAATTTCGGTTTAACTTAGAAAATGCAAACATGAATGTTCAGTATTGATCAGCCAACAAGAAAACATTTCGGGGTGTGCTTCTGAAATTTCCATATGGCACTGATATATGTTTGGGGGGGGGGGTTAAGGGTAGGTCGCTATGGTATCCTTAATTCCATTCCATCGTCCCTGAACTTGGGGTAGGGACTCTTGGGACTGTGCACTTACGTGGTTTTAGAATTAAGTATTGACTACACTTAGGTATTTTTCGAATTAGGAAGCGGGTGAATTAACCTTCAGAATTCAACATTGCGTAGTATTGATGAAAACCTCAATTCATTCAATTAACATCACAATCGATAGGCCAAATACCAGATATTAACATGGTATTGATATACGCAAACTTCTCTTTCCTGGATCAACAGTCCCCGTCCCGCTCCTGCAGGGCCCATAATATGGGATTAAGGGTAGCATAGTGTAGGTGCTTACAAAGACTGATCAATCCAGGATTAAGGATTGGGGATTAATTAATCCTTAATCTCAATCTTTAATCCCGAGTTTTGGAATTTTAATCCTTAATCCCTAATCCCCAATCCAACTCTGCAAACTTTAATCTAAAAGTGGGATTAAAATGGGATTAAAGTGAGATTAAAATGGGATTAAAGTGGGATTAAATATTGACTAAAAACTCGAAAACCAAACTTCTCTTGAGATAGCTCCCCTTTCGAAAAGTGATTGCATTTCGTTCATTTTTATCAAACATTTAACACCCTCTACAGTATTTTGCAAAACTACTCGTAAGTCGTAACGCGGTATCCTCAATGCACAATTTTCAACAATTGTGAGCTTATAAAAGAAATGTGAGTACTTTTACCAAACTATGATCAAAGTTATTTGTTAAAATAGCACCAAGAGTAAAATTAGATTTCTTTTCCTATATAATTTTAGCGCAAAATAATATTCAATTGCGACTTAGAAATTGTATTCATGAGCGATCTAATTTTGCATGTAAAATGTTCAAAATATTTCATTTTCAGAAGTGATGACATTTGTTTAATTAATTTATAAGTCTGGCATAGTAATTAACTTTAATGTAAACAATTAATCCACGACTAAATTAATTCCGAATCCAGCAAAACCACCCAAAATTTAATCTCGTGTCAATCCTTATCCCAGATTAAATTCAATCTCTAATCCCAATCATTAATCCAAAAATTTTAAAATTAATCCTTAATCCCAATCTCAATCCCAAAATTCTAAAATGTAATCCTCAATCTCAATCCTTAATCCCGATATCTTTAATCCGACAGTCTCTGATTACTATGACCATTTATATCATATATCAGTGCGACAGGCAAATTTCAAAATCACCCGAAATGTTCCGTTGTATGTAAACTTCAAACTTAGGTTAAATACGCGCTGGATCTGGACCATAGAAGGATGCACGTCAAGTGCTCTTGTGAATAAGCTCTGGATTCGGAGTTAAGCCACTCTCATTGTACGTATATAGTTACTACTGACCAGGGTTACAAGTGATATATATCACTGAGTGAGATTTAGTGAGATTTAATGATATATATCAATCATCTCACTTGGGGCTGAGTGAGAAATATGAGAAATAATGAGATAAACTTGTAGTTGATGACCACGTCCGCTAGGTGGCGCTAGTGCATGACTCATAAATCTCACTATATCTCATATTTCTCATGTCTCACTATTTCTCATTATATCTCAGTGAGATGAGATTTGTGAAGGTGAGATGAGATTTCTGCAACCCTGCTACTGACTGTATATAGTTTCTTGATGTGACATACTCTAGCATCATTATATAGTCAAACATGTGTGGAAAATCCCCTTACAATGTTAAATCGGAAGAAACTAGTTCCGTGGCGGAGAATGCGGTGAGAAATGTTCCGGCAGAATAAACCGCAGAAAATAATAATATTGTTCTGAAATGAAATTAAGGCAATATAATACTGTAATTACTATTTAGCAACAGGACTTACAATGCGATGGTGTGAAGTGTAACCCTCCGATTTGGGTGAAATTTCGAAATTATGTGGTCCATGTCAATACAATCATCATTTCTTGAGGCAATCAATGGTCAGAGTTTTGCAAAATATTTGAGGTCAAAGTTGAAAAAAATGTAATTTTTAGCACGGGAAGAGAATGGAAATTGGAGTTTGCTTCTTCTGCATACGGAAAATCGCTAGTTTTAGCCCGAGTCAGGGCTTATGTACCCGTCATGTCCGTCTGTCTGTCTGGTTTGCGATAACTGCCGTTAAACTAATCCGATCGACTTGAGATTTTGCACAAATGTAGTATGGGTCAAATGAGGAGTTAAGTTCGAAGATGGGCGAAATCGATCAAGTGGTTGACCGGTGGAGGTCATATAGGTGGGTGGGGTATTATGCATCAAAATTTCAAAATTGCCAGAGAAAGCTGAAATTTGGCGCAGAGGTTGATAATGGTTTCTAATGAAGGAATGCAAAGCAAAATTCCAAAAATTTTCATGTGGACGGACCCTCGGGGGTGACCCATACCGATTTTTAAAACTTATCCAATTGAGCTGAAATTTGGTACATAAATTGTTAATGACTACCAATAGAAGAATATGAATTGAAATTCGACACATTTTCACCTGGACAGACCCAATGGGGTGACCTATACGGATTTTTTAAATTAATCTAATCGTGCTGAAATTTGGTAGACAAGTTGGTAATAGCTCCTAATGGAACAATATGAAGTAAAATAAGAAAAATGTTCACCTGGAGGACCTTATTGGGCGACCCAATAAGGTGACCAGTTAGAAAAATATGTGTGCACCAACAAATGTATACGAACCTAGCCACCCGCATGCCTGGAATTTAAATATGTTACATCGAATATTGGTAACATAATATCCTGAAAGTTTTAAGAAAAAATATACACTCGTTTCAAAGTTATGGTCACAGTCGATAATGGTGACCAAGGGAAAATAAATGTGCGCACTAACAAGAATTTAGTGATAGTGGATAAATTTTGGTATATGGGTTACTAAAGGCTCTTAATTGAAGAATTCGAAGTTTTAAAATTTGTAATTTGAAAACAGATTTACGCCTGACTCGGGCTATATCAAGTCTGCACTGTAGGTTTTTCAACCTTGACCTCAAATATTTTTACAAATTCTGACCATCGTACAGACTGCCTCAAGAAATGTTGGTTGTATTGACATGGACCACATAATTTCGAAATCAACCAAATCGGTGGGTTACACTTCACATTATCGCATTGTTAGCAGATTGCATCTGGCTTACTTACTTGTATTTTCCATATAGCGAGTCCGCAATAACAGCCCCAATTATGGAGCTCAAATAACTAAAAACAGAATATCCATGGTAGATAGCGGTAGAGGCTTCCTCGTCAAAATGCAAAATGTTTTGAAAGTAAAAGGGTAGAATAACTGTAATAAACATATGTACTAAATATACAAATAAACTGTTATAACGAATGTAGCCAAGGGGTGGAAGGAGTGTGTTATCCGTCAAACTGAAGACAGTATTGTATTTACCTGTTAAAAATCTGTTAAAATTGACATGTTTGACGTGTTTTTAGGCCTTTTAAGATGGCCTTATAGAATTGTCAAGATGCCCGTCTGTCCGTCTGTCTGTCTGTCTGTCTGTACGCACGATAACTCTCTTTAAACACGAGCGATCGACTTGAAATTTTACATACTTCATCTTTGGACAAAAAGTAAAGATGAGTTCGAAGATGGGCATGATCGGTTGAGTGGTTGGCCGGTGGGGGTCATTTCTATCCAAGTGTGTTGCCCTTAACTACCAAGAACCTATAGAGCAGGTTAAATTATGCACGTACAAGTACAAGCTTGAGAAATATCTATAGTAATAATTTTCAGTAATTTTGGTATCAAGATTGCGACCTCAAAGCGTTCAAATTGGAGTGGAGTTTCAGAAATTTTCAACCGGGGAGACCCGATAGGGTGAACCCAACGTATTTCTAAAATTTGTCTTAGGACATAGGAAGCTAAAATTTGGTACAAAGGCTGCTAATGGATTGTAACAGAAAAAAATGAGTTTAGGTTGGAAAAATTTTCATCCTGAGGGACCCTATTGGGTGACCCATACTGATTATTCAAAATCGTCATATCGAACTGAAATTTGGTAGAGATGTTGCAAATGGGTCTTAATGGAACAATATGAAATGAAATTAGTAAAATTTTATCTGGAGCGACTATGGGGTGAGGGTGACCCATACCGATTTTTAGAAATTGCTTTAAAAACATGAAATCCTGCACGGTAATACTTACAATTAGCTGCTTCTCATTAAAGATTTTACAATTAAAAGTTAGCTAAGTGCAAACAGAATGACCCTACAGGGTGACCCACATCATTAGCCCGAACCAGGGCTTATGTAATTGTCATGTCCGTCTGTGCGTCTGTCTTTCGATAACTCTCGAACGATTTGACTGGTGTTTACCAGATTTGGTACAGACATGTATCTGGGCAATGCTACGACCGAGTTCGAAGATGGGTTCGATCATAAAAGATTTGGACCGGTGTGGGGTCATATGAGTGGGTGGGGTATTAGACACCAAAATTTCAAAATTGTGATAGAAAGCTGAAATTTGGCATAGAGCGTGCTAATCGCTCCTAGTGAAAGAATATAAAGCAAAATTGGTAAAATTTTCATATCCTGGCCCCCTTAGGGTGACCCATGCCGATTTTCAGAACTTGTCGTAAAAACCTGAAATTTGGAACGGTGATACTTAATGGTTTCTTATAAAATTATCCATATGAAGTCAAAGATAAACAAACAGTAGCCAGGATTAGAATTTAGGAGGATTGAATTTCGAAATTTATATAGGAATAGCCTCCACTGTGCGTTGTAAGTAGTCACGGAGAAAGAACAGTAACTATTTTTAAAATTTTGTGTCAAGTAATACTACCAACTGACATTAGTTAATGCAAGAATTAGTGAAAAAAAAATAGTATAACATTCTGACAAACATGGGTGTACATGGGTTTGGTTCTGGCTAAGCAAAGCTGTACTGAACCAGGGCTTATGTAATTATCATGTCCGTCTGTCTTTCGATAACTCTCGAGCGAGTTGACCGATTGACTTGAAATTTTTACCACATGCATATTGGACAAAGTTAGGAAACGAGTTCGAAGATGGGTGAAATCGGTTAAGTGGTTGACCGGTGGGGGTCATCGGAGTGGGTGGGGTCTTATGCACCAAAATTTCAAAATCGTCGTAGAAAGCTGAAATTTGGTACAAAGGTTGCTAATGGCTCCTAATGAAAGAATATGAAGTGAAATTGGAAAATTTTTCAACCGGAGGTACCCGAGGGGGTGACCCATACCGATTTTCATAGCTTGTCGCAAAAAGCTGAAATTCGGAATGGTGATACTTAATGGCTTCTCATGAAATTATATGAAGTCAAAGATGAACAAAAAGTAACCAGAGGGGTGATAAGGGGTACCCATACCGATTTCTAAGAGTTTATATATTCAGCTAAAATTTAGTGTGGAGTCGAAACATGACTTAAGATTAGAATTTAGGAGGGTTGAATTTCGAAATTTTTATACGAACAGTCTCCACTGCTCGTGGTATTTGGTGCCAAGCAATACTACCAAGTTACGCTAGTTAATGCAAGAATTAGTGAAAATAGTATAACATTCTGACAAACATGGGTTTACTAATCAATCCTGGTTCGGGCTGAGCAAAGCTGTACTGATAGGTTTTAAGAGTTGTAATTTTCATCTGAAATTTGGTATGGAGGCTAAAAATCGCTTCTGGATAACACATACAGCTTTAGAAGTTCAAGATGTTAAAGAAGCCCAGTGGTCGTCAATTGGAAGGATTTGTAAACAATTCAAAAATTTGGTGCTAAATAATAGAAAATATCCAACAAACATTTGACTAGTGATGGTAATCCGTAACCGATCCTATCCTAGGATCGTAAAAACTCGGATAGGATCGGATTTTCACACGGATCGGATTTTCACACGGATCGGATAGAGGATCCGAGAATCAGACAATCCGATCCGATCCGAACCGATGAAATCCTAGGATCGCACAGGATCCTCGGATCATCCGATGTAAACTCGTTTCACATTTGGTGACTTCATCACATGGCGTACATTATCCGAATGAGCCGAATTATGTTATTATTTAACACCAGTTATTTTTATTTCGACGTTTAAATTATTCAATTTCGTATGATTTCAACGTGTAAAATAATAGGATAATTCGGCTCATTCGGGTAATATACGCCATGTGATGAACTCACCAAAAACCGTTCCAATAAATAAAGAAAAGCAGCTGGTAAAGTATTTCCATAGTTAGACACAAGGTGTCTCACACATATCATCCGCGGATATCCTACGATCGATCCGATCCTAGGATCGGATCGCATCGGATTTCGAGTAGAACCGGGAGCCGATCCGATCCTAAAGCGAGCAAATCCGATCCGATCCGATCCTGTATTTATCCGATCCTATCCTACGGATCGGTTAATTTAGGATACGGATTACCATCCCTACATTTGACCATTCACCACGGAGGTTGGTTATGTAGGTCAATTCAGAAAAAAATTTAGAAGTGGGCTCTGACTCACCGCGTCAGGGACTCCGTCACTAACTCGGGCTAAATGGAGTCTGTACTGTAGGTTTTTAATACCAACAATGAATCACGAAATTATAGCCAAATCAAATATTAGGAGTCTGACTTTTTGTGAATGCCATCTAAAAAGGCCCCGCAAAGTTGCTTGAAGTAGGTTTTAACAGTTAAAATAATCAAAATTTAACAATTGATGACTCGTGACCTTAGAGGTCAAAGTAGAGGTCACTATTGAATTAGGTGTTAAATTTCAGTTGAAATTGACATGTATAAATTGAACTGTTGATGACCTTGCTGTGACCTTTAAGTTACCTTTTGTGACCATTTAGGTCAAAATGGAGGTCACCATTGAATTAGGGTAAATTTCAGTTCAAATTGATATGTATATATACCAATTTGACCTTTAAATGACATTTCATGACCTTTTGACCTTGACGGGTGTGACCTGCAGTGTCGATCTTCGAACTGACGCGTGTGTCGGTCTGTCCTATGAAATTAGGGGTTCACGTTCAAATTTTCAAGTCTTAATGTCTTTTCGTTCAAAAGTTATCCAACCAAACGACACACGGACGGACATAACGATCCAATCGAAAGGACTTTCACCCCTTAATAAACCGTTGCAGATGGAATTTACGGCAGTGGTGCTCAAATTGTATCAGAATCAAGAATAATTTTGTTTAAGTTTTATCGTTGACCCAGAAATGTGACCTATGAAGGTCAAAAATTCCTTGATTCCTATCAATAACAATACGAAGTACAATCTTCTTTTTGAAAATTTAATTTTGGTCTTAAGGTCACCTCTAAGTTCCTTTTGACCTATTGAGTACAAAGGCCTATCAATTTGTCTACCTTGGTCAAAGGTCACACTCGAGTCAAACTCGTCAAGAGTCAAAGTACAAAATGCTGCATGCGGACGGACGGTGTGGCCCAAGAAGCCAAAAACAATAAGTAACAAACTAGATATTACATCTAAGATATACCATTTATTGCATAAAACGAAAACCGTTCCAGTATTTGATGAGTGACCACAAAATATGCTGATTTTGGATATCCCTCCTTTTTTTTGAACTGCTGTATCAAAATAAAACTTACAAGTGAAATACCCGAGGTGCCGGTTGGGTCCAGGGTACCCACCATGTTTTTTTAGAATCTATTAGGAGCCTACATGAAGGATCAATTCTTATTTCCGTGTAAAACTTACATTTGGCGCCGTGCCGTGCCACACATTCGCCAAAATTGAATGTTTTCATTTTTAAAACCGCCATAACTTTTGAAATCTTGCACGGATTTTTAAATTTTTTTTTACCAAAATCATGACAAAAGGTTCAGCTTTCATATGTCACGAAATTTGAAGGTTTTGCAAAATTTCGCAATTTACTTAAAAATTGGGGTTCGTCGAAAAAATCGTAAAAATTTCTCAAAACAATGTAAAATTTTATTTTTTATTTTTTCTTAAAATTTCGACTTTGCAGATCATTTTAAGTAAAAAATTTTGATAATCTCACGGAAACTGTAAAAGTTATGTAGGTTTGAAATTGGTCGAAAATGTGAATTTTTAAGTTTGGCGCCACTGCTCGGCGCCAAATATGAGTTTTGCACGGAAATATAAGTGGATTTTTCATCTAGGGTCCTAATAAGTCTAAAAAACATAGTCGGTACCCTGGACACCACCAGCAAGGTTCCCTTGTTAGATCACCTCACAAAAGTAAGATTTTTTTTCTTACCTCCGATTGCATATTGGGGAATAATGCAAGCAAGTAAATCCTATTAAATGTCTTTAACCTCCCACTCGAGCTTAAGGGAATATATGCAGTGCTGAAACAAATTAGACATTAAATTTTTATTGATAAGGTTTTGCCATCGATTGGGAAAGATATTGTACAAAGTAACAAAAAAAACACAAAACACGCAAATTAAATTAGTTAATTAAAAAAATTAATTGGGGTGTCTCATCGTACCTTAATCAAAATCTTTGCCAACCTCTCCAAATGCAGTTTGGGGTAAATGTAGTGATGATTGGATCGTCTGATACCTTAAGATTATATATGCATCTAAGTCACAAAATCTACTGCGTTTATTTAGTTTATTAACATTTACTTTAAATCAGTTGCCTACTTCTAGAATCCAATTACAAACTAATGTATTTATTCATTTTAGGTCAGGAGGTGACGACGAAATGGAATCTGAGAAACTACTTGAAACCTATTATGCAAAAAACAATCAATCACAGTTTAAAGTACATGAAAATAATTCAACGAAAACAACTCATCTATTATCATGCAGTCATCCATTCAATAAATCACTCATCCATTATCTTGTTTAATAAATAATATTTATACGGAATAGCATGTCACCAATTCGTGCATGAATTAATCAATTTGAATGATGCATAATTAAAATTTGAGTAATCAATCATTGCATGGCACTTGATATTCCAGGAAGAAAGTTTTCATCCATCTACCAACAATTCCTATCCTACTTATCCATGCAATTGATCAATTTTATCTTGTAAAGTTCGGAATGCTTTGACGTATGGCGAGTTCCATAATTCAGTGAATTCTAGCCATCGACGTGACGTTGAAGGTGGTCAGCAGATTTTGTCATGAGTTAGTAGCCTGACGGACAAGAGAAGCTCACTACATGCCACTATTTTACGTAATCTCTTCTTTGTATCTGATGGTATTAAAATCACAATACTTGTGTTTATGAATCAGCAAAATGAAGGTTAGTTTGGAAGGTTAAACGTCACCTACTGCGATGCTAGTTTATTCTGGTTTGGTTATTCCCCCAAATCAATTACTTTATCACCTTACTCTCCTGACACAAATTCGCTGAATATGTAAATTAGATTTATTTGAATAGACAGAGGAATTTATATGATTAAAGTTGAAGCGGATGCGGGGTATATAAGTAAACTCTCTCAGTCACAACCAAATCAATTCAACTCATAGATTTCCCAACCATTGGTCAACTAATTTTCATAAACCAGTTCTTTTTATAATAAATTTACTTCATACTACCTACCAACCACCAAACCTAGCCAAATGCCTGCGGAGATGGATCAAATTCCAGTGATAGATATCAGTCCATTGGTTTTGGACGGAATCAAGAAGATGGCTGCAGCTCAACAAATCGGGGAAGCCTGTCGAAGCTACGGCTTCTTTTACATCAAAGGCCACGGCGTGGATGAGGTATTGCAAAATCAGCTGGAAAATGGAAGCAAGAAGTTCTTCTCTCTTCCTCTGGAAACTAAGATGAAAATTCACATGAGTCTTGGGGGACGGGCGTGGCGGGGATATTTTGCATTTGGAGAGGAATTGACAGGGGGAATGGCGGATCAGAAGGAAGGACTATACTTCGGACAAGAACTACCCATAGATGACCCACTGGTCAAGGCCCAAGTTCCACTTCAAGGCCCAAATTTGTTCCCGGATGACGACCTCCCGTCATTTCGCCAAGTGATTGTGGACTACCAGAAGGCAATGACGTCTGTCGGGCAGACCCTCATGCTTGGAATAGCTATCAGCCTTGGGCTTCCTGAGGACTACTTTTACCTCCGCTACACTCGAGAACCCACGGCTCTCTTCCAAATCATGAATTACCCACCTGCGAAGGACCCATCTGACTTCAAGTGGGCTATTTCCGAGCACACTGACTACGGCATCTTAACCGTGCTGAAGCAAGACAATGCCGGTGGACTTGAGATCAAACGTCCCTCCGGAGAGTGGATAAAGGCACCTCCAATTCCAGGAACTTTTGTCTGCAATATTGGCGACATGTTGGATCGTATGACTGGGGGCGTTTTCAAATCTACCCTTCACCGAGTTCGAAGTCCATTGACAAACGTGCCCAGACTTTCTTTTCCATTCTTCTTTGATCCCAACTTCTTTGCGGATGTTCAACCTATTGCTGGCATTACCCTGCAGCCGGACGACAAGGACCAGCGATGGGACAAGGAAAGTATCCACAAGCTTAGCGGAGTTTACGGAGATTATTTGGTGAAAAAAGTGTCCAGGGTCTTTCCTCTCCTTAAGACCCAAGTGCTGGAATATTAGCGTTGATTAAATTAAAAACAAACAACTTCAGTCAAACATTTCAGCATTCATTCGGCATCGAAAGCATCATCCAAGTTATACTCTAATTATTTATTTAGTAGTTTTATGTTACGAGTGGCACAATTTGATTTCTTAACGTTAAATTAATTGGACTTACTCAATAAATTGTAACGTATGAGAAGGTAATGTACTGTTTGATCGCCAGCAGTACCTCGGGGCAACTACGAGGGGAGGATGCAGGGGAGGATGGAGACTCGCAAATCAATTCGATTTTAACCTTCGACCTCAGAAAAAATAAGTGCTCATGTTTAATTTCAATGCCGAAAACCAAATTTAATACAATTTTATGATTTAAACAACATATCGTAACATTGACTTTAATATTAAAGATTTCAAATTTGCGTTTCAACGTAAAAATTAAATACATTTTCTTATTCTTTCTGAGGTCAAAATTTAAAATCTCGACAACCAACTGCCAGCGAGTCGTAAAAATTTACCTACATGGCTAATTTTTCAGAGGCTTAAGCTTACAACAGTCCAGATTTCTGCGTCTCCATTCCGGAAACGATTCTCCTCAATCCTTTTTCTGCTGACATTCTAAGCACATTTCTGCCATCTGGCATATTTTTCTCTGTCGAGTCTGAGATGTTCGATAAAAACCGCATTCTCTTTTTGCTCATTAATTAATTTAGTCTAATGCTTTAAACTTCACAAATTCTTGGTAGAATAAATATTCCTTATACGTATAACTAAATAAAACTTACACGTTATTTGTAATCAATTTAAAATCAAGCAGAGTTATTACTTCGTTCACTCCAATCATTGCTCTAACTGCAACTATATAGGAAAATAATTTAAAACCAAGCTTATGGGAGGATAGTTAGGAGAATAATTCATTCCAACCATCCGTCCCATCATTTATTCCCACCAATTTAAGTAACGAACTCTTTGCAGCACACAACTTGATACAACCAATGGTATTACACTCGCCCATTTTTGTTACATGGTGCCGAAACAAACTAGACAAAAAACAAAAATAGTCACCAGTTAATAATTTATACACTATTCCTCCCTCAGAAGAAGGGAGGAGAAATGAGGTGAAGGGACTGAGAATTTGTTTTGTACACACATACAACATTTTTATCTGGTAGCCCCGCCTCGCAATTCTACAACCGGATATCTGAAAGGCAACGTGACGTCACTCGGCGCAACTCCGAGGTCAAGTGACCAATGACCCTAAAAATGTCAAAAATTTTTTCGGTTTCTTTAGACTTAATTCTGTAATAGAAACCCAAAAAATGAAAATTTAGATGACGCTAAGAAGTGCCATAAAAAGTATTTAATAAATTTCTTCTTCAGTTAAGGATATAGAATTTTGATATTTCTAGCATCAGCGCCCCATTTTATTTTACTGACTTATTGCATAAGGAGCATGTGTATGTTCTATACATAGTAGTAAGGTAAAGAGTCGCTGCGATTAGGTAAGACCTGAATATCAGGTATTAACTTTCTGTATATTCGCAAGCATTCATTGTTTTTTAGTGACAAAAATAATTACACATGATTTTAAAATTTCTGTTTGTTCATATTTGGGATTTGATGCATATTTTTATGTTACCCTTGACTGGAGAAGAAATTGATTAAATATTTTTTATCGCACTTCTTAGCCTCATCTAAGATTTCCTTTTTTGGGTTTCTTTCATTCATTAGTTTGTATTTTTATTGAAAAGTAATTTATGTGACCACCAATAATATATTACTATGCTAATGAAAAGTTCTTCCAACTAGTGGAAGAAACTGAAGCTATTAATTTGACCGTTTCGCAGAATGAGCAAAATATTTCGTCAAGATACTGTATCTTGAGCTCCGTTCTTCCCAGGGTTTGAATTTGCAGGGGTGTTACACCCACAAATAGACAACAATCTACGCGGAGAATACCGCAGTCGTACGAAAATACAGATTTTGTGTAGACCTTTTTAAACTTTTTATGTCAAAATACTTCGTGAAAAATATCGCAAAAACCATGTATTTTGACGGCTATAAAAACGCAAATTCTTCACCAAATCTATATTATCGTACGGCTGCGGGATTCTCCACGTAGATTGTCGTCTCCTTATGGGTGTAACGGCCCTGAAAACCTAAATCCTGGGAAGAACAGAGCTCAAAATAATGCATTTTGACGAAGTTATTTTCCTACCCCTGTCGTTTCGCTTGTCTATCCGTCCTTCTCTCGGTGGGCACGATAGCTCTTAAAACGCATAAATTTGGTTAGTTTTGCTTCCGTAAATTAATACCTAATTTTAAAAGCAGGGATAGGTTCGTTGGCCAAAGGTCAAAATGCTACGAACAGGGTCATAACATTTTAAATGGCAAATTGGGCATGACCCGAGACCTCGTTGCTATTTAATTTCTCATGGGGCAATTGTTTTGACCAAAAATGTCATTAAAGCTTGTGATACGGGAACTTTCGTAAAATGCGTAAGCCAAAGTTGGTGATTTTTGTATCACGTAATGGGTTACATTCCATTTTTAACATGTGGGGCGGGATTGCCCGGCCCCTCTCGGCGCTTCCGCTGACTTAAGTCCAGGGTTTTCCATAAGTTTGAACAATGTGTTTTTAATTTTTTAGGCAAAAAAGGCGTACATGCTAAATAAACATGATGAAAATTTATCCAACCTTGATCACAATTTATTCAACTGTTGATGCCGAAATGCGATGACACAACTGTTGTGTAAAAATCACAGTCTGTGGTTGATTAATCCAATCACACAATAGTTTAGTAAATTTTGCTCAATTAGTCAGTCAAATAAGAAGATGGGGTAATTAAATCCTGCAGCCTAGTTGAATAAATATAACTCGTCAAGCATGTAGCTAAAATTTAACTCATTCTGCAGTAAATTTTACTCAATTCTTGAGCCATATTTTTCCAACAGTTGGTGAAATTGCTATCAATTTATGAATAATTTTAGCCATTCATTTATTCTGCGGAATAATTAGTCTCAGGTTCATTCATTATAATAACACTATGTTTTTTTTATTCAGATAGAGTTTAAACAGTAATTATTGAAAGGTGCAAAATAAGTAAATAAATTTTCGCTACCAACCAATAAATATATGTAAAATTAGAACCAGACATTGTACAAACTTATTGAAAACCCTGTATTTTATAAACTTTGCCTATAACCTGGTATCAGTGTGAGCAAGGTCAAAGGTCCCAACTCCCAACTCCCATGTCCCAAAAATCAGACTAGGTACATTTCTGAAAACTTTTTCCAGAAACTATGTACACTGATACCGAAACACCATTTTATGTGCCATTATTATTACCCTTACATAATTCGCCAGAGTGGTCCCCTTATTTCTTTGTGAATGATGTGATTTGAGGGGAAACATTACTATTTTTCCCAGTTAGCTAACCGTAACAGAAACTATTAATTTTGTTCTCTCTTGCAATGAGGCATGCCCCAGCAATACAGTTCCCATATGTTTAAAAATATTGACCTTCACGATGGGCTTGAAATAGATAATGCGATAAAGGTTTGCTTATCAGAACTGGGAGATTCATTCAATATTATTACATAAGTGTTTAAGATTAATTAATGGGTTTGAACTTTGTTCTGCCGATACTTTTGTGTATAGTACAGTACGATACACAAAAGTATCGGCAGACGATAGTACGATTCGTACTAGCAAAATCAAAGGATATTCTTATAAATGGATCAAATTATGTAGTATGTTTTGGAATGGGCACAATATTCCCTAAAATTGGGATTATTTCTGAATTTTTGTAACATGTTGCAATATGTAATATGTTATGAACGTATAGAAGCACGTTAAGAAATCTTTATTGAAAGTTATCGTGAACCCGGACAGACATGATGGTTCCATAAGCCTTCACTCGGGCTAAAAAACATTACTTTCATTGGATGTTTTTGAATATTATGCAAAAAATCATATTAAAAAATACATATTATTATGTACTACATATTAATTAATCATATTATTAATAATATGATATACATAATATGTAAATTGATAAATATTAATTACATTACTTAGATAAATGCCAAAATAATAATTATTGTGTAATCTCTTTCTTCATAAGGTTGACTTCCTCTTGGAGAAATTGATGTAAAATGTAGTCAAAATTGTTCCCAAGCGTGGTCACATCATGATTCGCGACCAGCGTTAGCGACAAGGTGTCCGCGTATGAAAAGAACCCGCAAGTCATGCCTGTCACGGGTCAAACTAATTAGTAAATGTAGACCTCCATAATTTGCTGAACTAACGCAGGACTTAAGGCGCTGTTCGTAAACTTCGTAACGCTGGCTAACCATAGGAAGATAGGGATTTTTCCCTATCTTCCCATGGTTAGCCAGCGTTACGAAGTTTACGAACAGCGCCTAATGACTATTAAATAATCGCCAAACTCTATAAAATCAGAACATTTTTAAATTATTTCTCTGGTCTGGGAATTTATTTTAAAATCCTGGTCGAAAAAGTTGTAGTCAGCGAGTTGAATGGCGTTTTTAAGCCAATTTCGATTAGTTCCAATTTTTCTGAAGGTTACTTAAACTTGACACCTCCTCCTTCTAAAAGGGTCAAAATCTGGAGTGTATATTTTTTTTAATTGGGAACTCACTGCTCTACAAATTTGTCGTCTAGAATTTTAAACTAAATTCCCAGAGCTGAGAATTGAGTAGAAATATGCTGATTTTGGCTAGAAGTCGTTAAGTATGGAGCTCCAATTATTGATAATTATAATTATAATTAACTCGCGTACTCGAATGTGGCCACAGAAGTCCCACATAAGCATACTTCTGGAGGACCCTATTCCCACAAAGGGTCACTGCTTGTGCCGGTCCAACCATATTTGTGCACCCGATCGGCGCCCCCATTCTGATTCGCGTCACCTTTTCCCAGGCCCAGGTCGGCAGAAGGGATTGGATTGGTACGACCAGTCGTGAATATCCTTCCGGCCAGTGATTTATGTCCACCGAACGGGAAAAATTGTCCATCAAGGCGGACAATCTGGAATTTAAAAAATTACTACGAACAATGTAGATTTCGCAGCGTATGCTCTCCGATTTTGAGCAAATTAGTGTCAATCGATCACAAATTTAATTAGGATGAAATTTGCGAAAGACACGATCTCCCA